TGGGAGGAGATGGGAAATAAAACATGGATCAACCAGCCTGGCATCTGCACCCACTCACCCCGAGCAGCTTCACATAGAGTCCCAGACCTCATGAGCTACGCCCTGCATGAACATAGCAAAGAGCCAAAGGCTTGCAAGAAATTAATTGAATCAACGTTGGCTTGGCCCAGTTCCTCATCTTCTCCACTGCTGTTCCTGCCAGCTGGGAGCGCAGCAATTTCAGACCACCCACCCTGCAAGGACTGTGATGGTTTTGGCTGTGAAAGCACGCCTGTGACTCAAGTTGTGCTGGTGCAGGAACTCCATCCCCCACTTTCAGTTATTGGGTGTTCGGCATCGGGGCTCATTTGATCCTGCTTGCTAACCCTGTCCTACTTGGCGTAGAATAATTACATTATGGACCACAAGCCCTTCTGTGTCTGCAGCCTAGTTTTGAGGCACGTGGCCTCCTAATTCTTATTCAAGAGGGGATTTAGGAACCCTTGCTGTTCAAGGGATGGCCCACGTAGACTTGGCAGCTCTTGCCATGGCGGGTGAAGCAATGGAAGAGGAATGTGCCACGCAGAGAGGAGATGATGTGGGGTGCTCTGTGACCATCATCAGGTTGTAAAAACTGAGGCACTTTCCCAGAATGGTAAAAAGCCAAAGGTACAAAGGCCCGAAGACTTTCCAAGGAATTCTCGTCTGCGATAAACAACAGACCTCCGAGCTGGGCTAAATGCAGCGCAGCTCACCAAATAAGGATTTGCAGACAAGCAAGCATTTGCCATTTGCTTGGCTTCGATCCTGTGGATCTTCCCCGAGCTGCCAAATATCACAGAGATTCATGGATTCCTGGGGAGGGGCAACAACTCCTCTCCCAGAAGACTGAAGCTGATATTTCAAAGAAATCGGTAGTAGCTGTTGCCTCCTCCTGCAGGGATCCCACGGTCCCTGGGATGGGCACCAATGCAGGTGGACACTGCTGTCACCCCATGTGTCTTTCATGGCTGGAGTGTCCTGGAGTGATAATGACCCCAGCAGCATTTTGAACAAACAGGGTGACTCGTGCTGCAAAAATTTGGAACACCCTTAAAGGAGGAAGAGCTCTGGAAGAGAAAGAAAACTTCCAGGCTTTAATTAGAGACGAAGGGTTTGAGTGTATTTGGGTTTTTTCCCCCTTCTTCCTGTGCTAAAATAAACACCATTTTTCTAAGGTCAATCAAGATAGCTGTTGTATAACTGATAGCATCCTCCTGGTAAAAAAATTCTCTCAAATGTATACCTGTGTGCCAAAGTGGACATGAATCATCGCTGATCCACGCTAGGTTCTCAGAATGATTGTAAAATCATCAGTGATATGTCAGCGTATATAGTTTAATGATTTCAAACCAAAAATGGAGAGACTGTGGGGGAGGTGGAGGCTTTGGAGGTGGCAGCTTCTTGGATGCTTGTTGCTTTTTACTGGGAAAATCACTGCATTTGAGATGAAATCTCTGGATCTTTGGTCCTTTGCCACCTCGGCTTTCCCTTGCTGGGCTGTGATAAGGTTACAGTGTCACTCCACACCCAGAAGCTGTACTTACGCATTATACACCCCAGTGAAACCACAGGTCTATAAGTTTCCCTTGATTTACACCATGGGGAACGCAGTGACAGTGAACTCATGAATGGATTGCTGGGTGTCACAAAAGGTGTCAGGGTCCATTGTACAACCCGATTTCCACCCCACCTTATTTACAGGGTCAATAATTTTTATTTATTTATTGCAGAAGGGGCAGGTACCTGCAGGAATAGACATGGTTCTTGCGGACGCTCCTCCTGAAGAAGCCTTTGCAGCCATCGCAGCTGGATGCCCCGTAGTGTTTGCCGGTCGCCCGGTCCCCACAGATGGAGCAGAGGGAGCCGATGCCGTTGGTGAGCAGGTTGGTGTTTGCCGATTCAGCTGCGATGGCCTCTGCCGGCAGAGAACAGGGACCGTTAGACACCTCTGTGATGGAAACCAGAATCAACTGACAGCAAGTTCCTTTTTCAAGCTAAGCACACACTCAGCCAGCCCCCCACACACGTGTGCACTCACACTGTGTGCTGCTAGTGAAGCCTCCAGATTGATGGTCATGCTCTTCTCAACTGCAACTGAGAGTAAATCAGCTGCTTTGCTTCTGGTATTAGTGTTTTCCTTTGCTTCAGTGAACAGAGAGATTTCAAGCTGCATAACCCAACATGCTCATGAGAATTGAATCATTACCGCTACTTTCTTGACAGATGCAGAGACACCTTACCTGGATGTGAGGTGTATGCTTTTGAGAGATGGGGAGCCACCTCCTCAGTTAGACACCTGGAGAACATGGTGCAAAGCTGGTGCCCAGAGAGGACAATAGAAAGACCATCATTAACTTGAATAAATAGAAAGCAGAGAAGAGACAGCAGAGGCAGAAAGATGAACTACTTCATGCACATGGCAGAGGTGTTTGAGATAAAAGACTGCTCTTGAGAGCTCCTCTGGAGCTGGAAGACAGACAGCCACTCTCACAGGGGTCACTTTAGTTCTCCTAAGTCTGGTTCCTGCTCTGAACTGCCCTCTGAAGAGGCTCATTGCTTTCCACTGGAAAGAAGTAGAAGGATGCAGGAAGATCAACCTTCTAAATTAGGGACCTAAAATTAGGTCATATGAATGCCCTCTGTCATGTCCTCTGTTTGCACCCACTCATCTGGGGCAGGAATAGCTCTGCCCCTGCCTGGCCTGTGTATACACTGCTGAAAACTCCCCTTTAAACTTCTCCCTTGGCCTTAACCACCAGGCTCACTGCCCTCTTAATCCTAATTTGAGGCACAGCTTGGGGAAGGGAAAGAAAAAAAAAGAAAAAAAAAGAGGAGACACTTGAGAAGACACAGATGACAGTGTTTACATCTCAATGAGAGAAGGAACGTTTGCAGAGTCTGTCCTGACCTGGGCACTCGCTGCAGGATGGTTTTATGAATTTATCGCACCTCTGGGAGTGTGTTCTTTGCTCCAGGGGAGCCAATCATGTGCTACAGCGACCTTGGCAAAGGCTCTGGGACAGGACGCATCCTGCCTCGCAGGAGAGACGGGCAGTGATGAGAAAAGCTCAGCTGCTGTTGTGTTGAGCAATGACAAATCTTAGAGAAAATTACTCGAAGGGGAGGAACTGGCATCTGATCTGGACAGTCTAAAGAAAGTTTTCTAATGCACAATGCGTAAAAATAGCTTCGGGTAATCCACACACAACACATATATATACAGAGAGAGAGAAGGCTATTTTTGTATATGAATACACAGCAAAAATTTATAGTGAAAATATTTGCTAGGCAATGAAAATTGTAATCAAAAGCAAAAAAAAAAAAGCCAAGAAAGCGTCAGTTTGTCAAAAACTGGAAAGTTTTTTAGCTAAGGCTAAGACATTTTTAGCTAAGACTTCAGAAATGCAAAGGTCAGGCTTCCTTTCACCCCCTCAAAAAACCTTTTGATCTATATTTCACCTTCTAACATATGGATGAATAAATAAGTAGGTTGTAGCAATATAGGAGCAACATGACAGGAAAGAATGACAGCATCAATACCATTCTTAGGTCATAATGACAGGAACTGAGATTTACCTGTTCCCAAAATCCCTGCAAGATGCTCCCAGTTCTGACATTTGTCAGTAACTGGCACTTGGGTCCTTTGGGAACATTGTCTGCGTCAGAGGTGCTTAATAGTAGCTTACATTGATTTTTAGGTTTTTTACATTGATTCTTAATTTTATTTTGCTTGAGAACTTCGTATTAAATAAGCTGTACTAGAATATTCCTTTGAGGTAACTGTACTGCTAAACATTTGTGCATCTGTTTCTCCATCTATTTTTTTTTGAAGGAACATATGACCATAAACAAATGCACTGAGCGTGCTGGATTCTATTTAAAAAATTGCACAACAAAAATAAAGATAAGGAGGCCAATTTTCTCTTCGCTTTGCTCATGCTTTCTCTACTGGCTTTAGAGGAATCAAGCTGAGGTCATACAGTTTGGGTCCCCAATGGACCCTTCGTCCTTCAGCTGAGTCCAGATTGCAAAACGTTCCTGATGCTGGAGAGCATTCACTCACCAGAGAAGTCTTTTTTCCCTTACGTGAATAGGATATGTGAGGAGCTTCTTGCTGATATAAGCAAGAAATCAAACATCTGGCCTTAAACCAAGTATTACTGGAGGAAGGACCATCGGCACTGAGTGTGTGAGGGCCCATGGAAGTTAGCAAACCAGATTTTGCCCTCACTTGTACCCATGAAAACACAGACAAGCCCATGGGCTAGAGCCGAGCTGGTTGGTTCTATGTTAGGGCAGATTCATAGCTAAAAGTTCAGTGGTGTTAGGTAGTCATGTATCCTTTTCATCTTGGTTGAACGTGAACAGAATTTTAAAAAAAGAAAAGGAAAGCCCTAAGCCAATATGCACATGTTAATTAAGATGATTAAATTTAATTACAAAATCCTCCTACCAACTAATGGTGACTTCGAATTGAGAATTAGCTCAGAAAAGAGCAAAGGCACAACCGATATCATGTGCATCAGAAGAATGTTTCAATGTGGCTTTCAAACCTACCCAGTATTTGGGGAATGTCTGGGTTTTCCCTGGACTGATCACTGCTAGGAAAGGCAGAGGAAAGCCAGGATCCCTGCCAGCACAGTTGCCTGCCTGTGAAATCAGCTGAAAACTGTAAACCATTTACTTCAGCCCTGCCTGACACAAGACGATAACCTGCTCAGAGCTTCATTTAACACGTGGTGCCTCTCTAGAGGGGTTGCTACCTGGAGCTCAGCACCACACTGAAATGGGCTCCAGGGCTGCTAGAATGGATCTGGTCAGTGTCCAGCTGGCTCACAACAACTGAAACAAGCTCACAACTGTCCTCACCACCGTAGAGGGAGATGCTCAGAGATGTCGATTGCTTATAGATGGTCATCACTGTGGTGTAACAGGACAGTTCCTAAGCCGTGCCACAGTGCCCCTGAAATTTCTCCTGGAGGTGCAACTGATGACATTCACCAAGAGACCATAATTCATCTTGACCTTGCATGGATCCCAGGCTGAGCTGATGACATATGGTTGTGGCCATACTCCTCACTAGGACTGTCCTGGACATTCACTGGCAGAAAAGTCTGAAGTTTCAACCATCTTTTGCAAATTACACATAAGCAGCGTGCAGATTTGGAGCTACAGCCTACCTAATGCTGATGAGAGTATCCCAGTGGCTTCACCAGCTTTGGGATCAACCAAGCTCACAACCGAAATGCATACAAATTTTGGTTACCGACTGCCTCTGTATTTAAGTCATTACCTAACCAGGGCTGAAATGAAGATGCCAAATTTTAGAGTGGTAAGAAATGGCAGTGAGGATGCTGCTGGGGAATGGTAACTGGCTTCCATTCAGAGCCAGAGCTCTGCATGATACCTGACCACTGCAGACCTTTTGCTGCTTTTCCTTTCAGTTATGGCCTTTCAGTTACTGGCTACATCTCTTCTAGATGCACATCATATAGAAGAATCACGACGCAATGTTTTCCAGAATGGCTTTTGCTTTTATCTACCCAGAAATGCAAGCCAGTCTTGGTGCACATAATTTGCAGCTAATAAATTCCCAAATTACATGTGCTGGATGAGAGTGTAAAGAGATCATGTATGCGGGTTTAGGGCATGCACACACAGTCAAACTTGGTGGCCAAAGCCAGCATTGCGAAACCTGTGCATACAAACGTAGGGCTGGATGGGGGTTAGGACTGAAGCCCTGGCCATGGGCAGGTCAGCCGCTCTCTACATCAGCTTTTAGCAAATAGAGGGGGAGTTTTTGAGATATAACACATAGCTTTGATTTAGCGTCCCCAAGTCAGACAGTAACAACGATGAAAAGGCCAGCCAGAAAGGCCAGAGCTCCTCGCAAGCCCGCTTGCAGGTTGAGGGATGGTCAGGCACTGTCAAAATATCTTTGATGGCTTTTTCATGGTCTGAATTGGGTCAGCCTGCAGCGGGGCTGGGAAAGGTGTTTCACCAACCTTGTGTCAAAGTCCCAAAGATCAGCGTGGTGGTTGAGTGCTGAGACAGGAAAATGAGCACCACCGTGGGAGAAAGTGTTCACCGACCCTTGACTAAAGAATTAGTGCAATATTTCAATAATGCTTCATATTTTAAGCAAAATGACAACTCTGACAAGAGCATGAGGAAATGGATATTAACAGCACATAAAAAACAAGTGAGAATATGGCTTGTAATGCCAGCCAAGGTAAAGGAAACAAGTTTGTACAGAATGAGAAAATTTCTGCAGTTAGAACACATATTTTATAAAGGAAATACAGGATTAACATTCATTTTTGTTCATTTCCTTTTGCCATTCCTTCTATTTAAAACAGATGACTTTTTATACTCCTCCTCTACTCCCATAATGGATCTTATTCTTTATTTTGAATTAGTCTCAAAATACTTGGCTAATTATGGTCTACTTAAAGGTGGAAAATCCAAAATATATATCTAGGCAAATCTCAAAATGATAGCAGCTTCCTGAAGCAGAAAGCTTAGCACCGGAAGTGCTCCACGTCATTAATCAATCCAAAATTTTGATGAAATAATATTCCAAAGAAGGAAAAAGTTAGTTTCAAGAAAGCATGACCTTATTTGAAAATATTCTAACTTTCACTTTTAAAATTGTTCAGAATGTAAGAAACAGTCCTGAGTCTATTAAAACAAATATTGAACCCCTTCCTATTCGTGTTTATAGAAGGCAAAACTGCCATTAGATTTAGTAGGGGAAATAAATTGTGCATAGTGGGTAAGATACAGCTTAAAACAATCCAGTATATTATTAAAAATATCTAAAATGAGATTATTTCTTGAATCTAACAATTTTAAAAATGTTTCTGAAACTGCACCGTATCTGTGTGAACTGTTATTTTGAGTTACCTATGGGAACTGAACTCAGCTGGTTAGCAATATGTTTCCATGCATGGACATTTCAGGTCTTTTTTGAAGTTATTTTTACAAACTGTAGAAGAGGACACTTACCCAAGACAAACAAGCTAATTTCAAAACAGCTAGTTCCTGAGAGAGCTGGTTACTCATTAACAGCTAGACAAATAACACAATACTGATCTAGATAAACTTCAGAAAAAAACTCAACCTGTCAGTTCCACTGCATGAAACAACAGAGAGCCCCAAACAGGTTTTGGTAGTTAAGTTGCAAAATGATATTGAATTTTGAGGAATTTTGTACCACTCTAAAAAATAAAAAATAACTTGTTGTTCAGCAGCAAGTGACAAAGAGCATCTGTGTTAAATAACATTTCTAGAATAGGACAGCAGATGGAAACCTTTCTGAAAGAATAAGAAATAAGATTCAGTCTATCTGCAGCTGGCAAAAAAAAATATATTGAAAATCCTTTATTTGGGGACAGACAGAGCTTTTCTTGAAGTCAACTTTAAATTCAAATTTCTTTGGGCCCTTTAACTTTACTTGTCTCCTGACATCCCTCCATGTCCCACAATAATAAGTCTAATCATTTCATATTGTAGACGATAACCCTACTGAAACTGATTTCTTTTGATGAGACAGCTAATGAGCAAAAGTGAGACCCTGGAAATCCCATCTTAATTTCACTAAGCTGCCTAACAAATTAAATGAAATTATGCCAAAACTCTCCAAAGGCGTTGCTAATGTTGGATCTCATTCAGTTACATGATTGGTTTCATGCTACATGACTAAAATGTCCTTTATTTTTCACACAGTGAACAGTTAATTTAACAGAATAGTGTTCGCTTTATGTCCAGAGTACTTTTGACTACTCAAAACCTACATATACGCTTTATTTCTGTGAACAAAGCGGAAGTCTTTGCATATAAACATTCATGCCTCGCAGCCAAGTTCTTTGTGTGCTGTGAAGGCTTTTAGACTATCTTGGAAGCCAGAAAAAGAATATAAGGCAAGTAACGGTTTGGATATTGCTTCTCAATCTAAATACCTAGGAACAAGTTAAATTGGACACATGGTGTATTGTTTGAGTAATAGACAAATACCATTTGAGACGGCATTTTGTTCCAAGAATTAAATACGAATCTAAGTCATATATGGGAACGAAACACACGTTTTAAGGCAGAAATATTGGTAATAACTCCTCTCGTTAAGTCTAACGAGGGGACAAACCTATGGCATGCCATGAAGATCTCTACCAACACTTGCAATACCTCGTGAGCTCTTCAGGACATGGCGCTCAGCCCACCAAGGAAAAGAATAACTCAAAATAGGACTGGCAAGTGAAAGGGTCCCATTTCAGCCCAAACATAACTGCAGATGCAACAGAAGTTGACAGGTCAGCTGCTTAAATATTACCCCTTCCACCCTTTGCCCCACACCTCCTACCTGCCTTTCATAGGTGTTCAGCTTTATAACAAAGGTAGTGGAGGTTATTCAAGAGGAAGCGAACAGAAATCTCACCGGTGTTATTGGGGAGCACCCGAAGGTTGTCAAATTCCAGCATGGTATAAGAGGAGTCCAAGGAGTCGACATAATCTGGCATATCCATGTCCATGATGGACTGACAAAGCTTCATTATTACTTGTCAACAGCAAGGGAAGCGGCAAAAAACAGCCCTGCTGTCAATCACGGCCAAGGTTTCCTCTGCAAAGAGAGACACCCCAGCCCTTGCGATGACAAATCATTACCCAGCTCTGCCCACAGTCCCCTCCCCGTACCAGGAGAGAAGGGAAGAAGCCGTTTCCTCTCGCGCACGCAGTCCCCTCCCTTCCCGGGGTGCATCTGTGCTCTCTCGATCCTGATAATATGATGTAGATAAGGCCTAGACTCAAACGACTTGGATTGCATCTTTGGGTCAATACAGCCTGTTTTATGGCTGTTCCTGCACAAACATTTTGAAAAGGGCTGCGAAGAGGCGTTCACACACATGCGCCACTCTTCCAGGGCAAAGCAATGGCCACGTCAAATAACACCCATGCCGATGTCACCTTGCTCAGCTACCAGCCCTTGGGAAAAGACCAAATGATGTCACTTGATGCTGGTGAAGACAATGAGTCAGCATCACCACTGACTGAAGACCATCAAGATAGGTCGGCACTGAGAACCTGAGGCATTGCCATGAGACACAAACAGCGCTGCACACTGGATCGCATCTTGAGTTACTACTGGAAAGAAAAATGGGGCTTCATTACAGCCATCTGCATGGCTTCACACTACCCCATAGACAGAGGGGAGGTGACTTATCCCACCCCACCCACCTCCCTGTCACCTGCATCTTCTCCCTCCCACATCCCGGGAG